CGCACCGCCAGAACCCTGACCCTGATCGCCAAGGTCATCCAGAACCTGGCCAACTTCAGCAAGTACGTCTGGGCTCTTATTTTGAAGGGACTGCATGCCTGGGTTCAGATCTGGGAGGAGTCAACATGTTTCTCTCTGGGCAGCCAGTAAGGGGTCATATGGAGTTAGTTGGTCTACAGGAGTCCAGGCCCCGCCTCTCCAGGGCGGCTCCTGCTGTTTAATGTTGCGGTGTTTCCACCTGTTGATGTGCCGGTCTCACCTGTCGCTGCAGGTTCGGCACCAAGGAGGAGTACATGCTGTTCATGAACGACTTTGTGGAGCGCCAGTGGAGCAGCATGCAGCGCTTCCTGCAGGAGATCTCCAACCCCGACGGGCTGAACCACACCGGCGGCTTTGACGGCTACATCGACCTCGGCAGAGAGCTGAGCAGCTTACACACTCTGCTGACCGAGCTCGACCAGGTAACACCTGCCTGCCAGGTAAGAGAGATGGCTCACCAGGCAGCTAGCTAGGGGTAGCCCTGGTAGCGCAGCAGGTATTGCAGCAGGTAGCCGGGTTCTGAACTTGTGCTGTCTCTGGTTCCCCCCCTCCGTCTGCAGTCGAGTCTGTCCAAGCTCGGCCCGCTCCCTCGGATCCTCAGAGACGTGTCGGCGGCTCTGGTCCACCCTGGAGGCGTGGTCGGAGCTGGGGGCGTGTCTGTGTCATCTCCAGACCCTCAGCGGGTGGTGTCCCCGCCCCCTATGTCCCCACCGCCTCTGTCCCCGCCCCTGTCTCCTCCTCTGGCAGCCTGCAATCCTTCTGTTGGCCTGCAGGGCGGCGTGGGATTAGATGGAGGGTTAGTCTGTTCTCTGCATGCAAGAGCAACATGAGACCTTAGCCAGAGGTTAACTCTGAGTTTAATCTGAGGTTAAACCTCAGTAACGTCCACTTCCTGTCTCCATGTCCAGCTGCGTGGACTTCACCAGACTTCCATCTCCGACTCCTGAGAACAAAGATTTGTTTTTCGTCACCAAAGGATCTAGCCTGCAGCCTGCATCAGGTGACCTTTGACCTTTCCTCCTCTTTGTTCCAGACCAGCATTGTCCGACCCTCCTCATGATGTCACTTCCTGCAGGTATGCGAGGCTCTCCGGCTCCGAGCTCGTCTTACTCTGAGCCCAACGAGAACGAGGCGTGCTACGACCTGGCCAATGGCGGCCGGAGGGAGGGGCCGGAGCTGACCAATGAGAGCCGCAGCCTGTCTCTGGTGGACCTGCAGGACTCCTCCCCCAGCGACGCCCCAGACGACGCCCAGTGGCAACGCCGGACGGGGCTCCTCCCCCTTTCTTTCCAGAACCCTGTCTATCACATGACCACCCCGTCGCCCCGGCAACCGCAGCAGCAGCAGACAGACGCCACGCCCTCTGATGGCTCGGTGGGCTCCCAGGGAAACTGCGAGGAGCGTGGCGCCGTGGCGACCAAGCCGGCCTTCCTCACCCAGATGTCGGTGGGCGTGGGGGGGGAGAGGGGAGAGAGGATGTCGGCCATGTCGAGCAGCAGCAGCGGCGAGGAATACTCCCGCCGCGCGCTGTCTCTCACCGACACACTCTCAGGTACGAGTCCACGCCGTCACACAGGCCACCACAAAGTTCAAGGGTCGTCTTGTGACCTTTGCCCCGCCCACAGGTAGCTCGGCCCCCCCTCGGCAGAACTCAGGTCCTCAGAGACGCATCGATCAGCCGCCGCCGCCGTCCTCGGCTCCACCAGGACCGCCACGAGGCCGCACGCCTCCCAGCATGCTCAGCGGGGGAGGCTCCGCCTACCCTCCACGCCCTGCCTCCGGCAGTATGATGTCATCGAGTCCCGATTGGCCCAACAGTGGCCAATCACGTCTCAGACAGATGTCGTCATCGTCCAAAGGAGACAGCCCGGAGAAGCAGCGGCCCGCTGCCAAGGTAACGCACCTGGAGACACTCGGGTGGAAAGAGATCCTGGGTCCAGCATGACCCGGTATAACAGAACCGGGTCGTGTAGAACAGGATGGAGTTCTGCCAGCGTTCAGGATGGGATGCCAGTGGCTCCAGAAACATGAAGGTGCTGCCAGGCCGGTTTGGGTCAATCAGAACCTTCTGGGTCTTTGGTTTCGTCTTTTCTATACTTCCTGAAAGGAGCTTGTTTCGGTCCTGGCTCCTCCCAGAGGTCCGACTGAGCAGAACCTCCAGGAGGGATCATGTGATCAGACGGCGGTTCTGATCCGTTTGGGCCTCAAGCTGGGCAGGTGTTAGAAAGACGAAATCTGGTTTCATATCCAAAATGTCCTCTCTCCTGTCTCATGTCCTTTGAGGCGTAAATGAACTGTTGACCTCTGACCCCTGATCCAGCTCTCCTCGTTGGGTCGACCCGGTCATCAGAACTTCATGCTGGGAAACATCCAGGTTGTTCATAAGTTTCCACTGGCAGGCACGTTGCCATGGTAACTACATCATTCAGTGAGGTTGCTATGGTAAAATGTGAGCAGGGTGTGATACCATGGCAACCAGCCTGACCGTTCAGAACCAGAACCGGGTCCGTCCGTGTGTCCAGGCTCCGTCTCCCTGCGCGTTGGACCGGACCGCCGCCTGGTTGCTCAACATGAACTCTGCATCGTCCTACGGCGAGGCGGAGGATGATCGTCATGACGACGCTATGGTGGAGAAGGTAGAGCCGGTTCCGCTGTTGCTCGTATGAGTGGGTTCTGGCGGTTCTGACCCGGTTTGTGTTCAGTACCAGCAGGAGATCGCACTGCTGCAGGAGAAGCTGCGGGTGGCGGCGCTGCGCCAGGAGGAGTGCGAGGCCCGCCTGGTGGTCCAGGACCAGCAGAACCAGCGGATGCTGCAGGAGTACCAGGTAAGGGGCTCACCTGGTCAGATCCAGGTCCAGGTGAGCCATGGAAGCGGGTCACAGCTGGTCATGTGGTCTAGCTGGGTCACATGGCTCAACTGGACCAATGGGATTGTGTTCCAGGCCCGGCTGGAGGACACAGAGAGCCGACTGAGGAGGCTGCAGGACGACAAAGACCTCCAGATGAACAGCATCATTAGCAGGTATGCTCACCTGGCTGCTCACCCGTCTCACCTGGCTGCTCACCCGTCTCACCCGTCTCACCTGTTCAGGTTGATGGCAGTAGAAGAGGAGCTGAAGAAGGATCACTCTGACATGCAGGCTGTGGTGGACCAGAAGCAGAAGGTCATTGAGGCTCAGGTAAACACACCTGACCTTTCACCTGGTTCTCATCATTTTATTAACCTGTAACCCTTACAGGTGAGGCCTCACCTGGCTCCCCCGACCGAACCTCACTGATAACGCAAAGTCTGTCAGACGATCAAGGACCCAGAGCCGGTTCTGAGGACCCAGAGCCGGTTCTGAGGACCCGACCTGAAGACGAACTCAGTCAGTCTTCCTGCAGCCTCTCTGGATGTTGGAACCCAGGTTTCATGGTTTAAATGCAGCCAGAGATGGATTTCAGACCGGAACACTCTAGTGTTACTGGAGCTGTGATGTCATCCTCTAGAGCTGTGATGTCATCTGGCAGCAGTCAGTGTCCCCTCTTCGACCTTTGCCCTCTGGCGTACGGGGCTGAAAGGGGCCTGGAACATTTGTTTTCTGCATTCTGTCCAATTAAGGAGCTCCTGACGTCACTTCCTGTTTGTTCCTGTAATTCTTCCAGCCCACTTCCCAGCATGGCCACTAGGGGCAGCGTTCACCACAGCCTGGGCTGGAGTTTTAGCTGCATGACTGAAGAGTTTGTTTTCTTTACTCTAGCAAAGATCAAAGGTCACCACCAGGCCATGTGGCAAAGGTCAGCGGCCGGGACTCAAATGGAGGACTGAGGCCTACCTGGTCACTTCACCTGGGCGGCTGCCGCCCAATGAGACGCTGTTAGCTTCAGACCTCTTACTTGTCGGCCGACCAGGAAACAGCTCAGCTGCCATTCACCTGTCATACACGTCTCACCTGTCCCACCTGTCTCTGTCTCCCAGGAGAAGCGGATTGCCAGCCTGGACGCTGCCAACACCCGCCTGATGGCGGCGCTGACCCAGCTAAAGGAACGCTACGGCGTGACATCACAGAGGAACGGCCTGTCTCCTAGCAACACGTCATCTCTGCAGATCACAGAGAACGGCGAGTTCCGTAACTCTGGCAACTGCTGAGAAACTGAGCTGTGATTGGCTGACACTGCAGGGAAGGGCGGGGCTTACCCCCCCCCCCACATACAGCAAGAGGCGGGGCTTAAAAACAGACTCATTGAAATTAACCAATCGGGTGGAACAGACAAGCTCATCGAATGTCAGCTTCTGCACCACTGAAATGACCTCTGACCTGATCCCACCCTTGTTGCTAGGTTACCCTCACTTCTTTTTGTTTTGCATGTTCCTCTTTGATGAAGTCTGACTTCATTTCCTGTTTACGTTTAGATCTTCCCAACAAAACCAGAACCTCACCTATACCCAGCTATACTGGTCAAACTGGACCCCCTGGTTCTGGTTGGCCCGGACCTGCCAGTCCTCCTGATTCTACAGATGTACTTAAAGGCACAGCTGACCTTTAACCTGCAGTCAGAGCCGCTTCGTTAGCTTAGCCTAGCTTAGCACAAAGAGCAGCAGCGGGTGGAAAGTGTTAGCCTAGCCTAGCTCCAAACCCTGCAGTGATTGCTTTGGCCTCTTTGGGCTTCCGTAGCTTTGAGTATTTAATTCCCGTCGACCCGGTGAGCCGGTCCAGAATTAGACGCTAGTTTGTGTTGTTTCAGAGAATTTTAATGTAAACCACAGATTTTATTGTAAACAGTAAAAACTTTAACTTGTGATGATGATGATGATGATTTGTGCCCCCCCCCCCCCACTGTGGCTTCTGTCTGTTCTGTATCCATGAGCCTCTGTTTGTTATTTATCTACAGTATTTATAAGGAGCTACAATAAAACCAGAAACCAGCCTGTCGCTGTGCTCATCTACACACACACACACACACACACACACACACAGGGATAACTGGGTCACTCTGGGCTTTATTCGCTCTGCTGCAGTGTAAACAAGAAGTGACTAAGCAGGAAGTGATGTCACAGGGCCTGCAGGAAGCGCTCCAGTGGGTCCTCACTCCAGTAGTCGTGGTTCCAGCCCAGGAACCAACCGGTAAAGGTTGGTGGTTCAAATCCTTGCTTCAGGGTCACGATGGGGGTCCGCGGGTCTCTGCCGGCCGGGTCGGTTCTGATGTAGCGCTCAGCTGTACACAGAGAGACCTGTTAGGCGCCGGACCTGCCACAAAGGTTCTCACTGAACCGGCTCCTGGACCAGAACCGGTACCGAAACCGTCTCACCTGTTGCGGCAGCTTCCGTCTTCTCTTCCTCGTGGGCCTCGTTCCCGATCCAAACGAACACCTGCCGGGGGACACGGTGAGCCGCCGGTGGAGCCAGAACCTGGTTTCCATGGTGACGGCGGCGAGGAAGACTCACCTGGTCCCAAGTGTCCAGGATCATGACGTCATCAGGAGCCAGGTCATCCTGGGTCAGTTCTCCCGGAACCTCTTCCATCTGGACACAAGGAACTGGGTCAACCAGAACCCACCGCGGCTAACCCCCTCGTAACCTTGGCAACCACCAGCCAGGTCGGCCGAACACACCTGGTGAGCGCCAAGCGTACCTGGAAGGTGCCGGTCTTGTTGGAGCAGGCGAAGAGGCGTGGCGGATGGGCGTCCATCTTGTTGCTGAGCCGAGGGGCACTGCAGTAGTCGTCCTTCCCACCCAGAACTGCCCAGAACCCGTCTGGAACCACAGCCAGCCGTCAGCGCCGGCTCAGGGCCGCCCGACACTTTACATACCTGCCGCTTACCTGGCTCCTCCCCCTCCTCCAGCAGGGCAGGGTTCACCTGCAGCACCTGGGCCAGGTGTTCGGCCCCCTTCGCCTCTGCCGCGCTGCTGCCCCGCCCCTTCCACAGCCACGCCCCCCCGGCTGCCGCCAGCAGGAACGCATCGTTGGAGTTCAGGCGGGACGAGGACGGGCCCACCTGCAGCACAGCAGAGTGGTTCGGTTCTGACCGGTCCGGTTCACATGGCAGGCTAGGTTCTGAGCAGCTTTGAATGGATCCAATGAAACCCTGACAGAGATTCTGACAGAACCGTAAACTGAACTGGATCGCTGAAGGTCCAGGTCCTTCATGTCTGAGGAGGACAACACACCTGGACTGGATCAGAAGGTTCTGGAGTGGACTGGACGGGTAAGATCAGAGAACTGGACCCAGTGGCTGAACCCCAACACCTGATTGGTCAGGAGACCCGACTCACCTGGACCCCATCTTGTGCTGGAGACTTTTGAGGTTCTGGTTCTGGATGATTTTCTGCTGAATGGAGCTGCAAGAAGCTAAGGGGTTATGGTTCTGACCCGTCCGGGTTCTGCTGGTCTCACCTCCACAGCCCGGGTGTCTCCAGCTGGGTTGGACCGCACCTGGAACAGGCGGGTGTCGGCGGCGGCGGACTGGCCGCCCTCCCTGGAGGTGCCGCCCTGGTACACCACCATCGGCTGACCTCCAAACAGGCTCATCATGTGGGCAGGCTCTTTGCCTTGGACCACCCTCACCTGGGCGGACAGGTGACAGTGAGGTGCTGGGAATGCTGGTTCCCAGTTGGTTCCGGTCACCAGCTGGTGATCAGAACCACACTGCTGTGGTTCTGATCACCAACTGGGAACCAGCATTCCCAGTTGGTGTACCTGAACTGCTCCGCCTCCCAGTTCGTTGTCCAGCTCGACGGCCAGAATGGCCGATGCCGCGGTTTCGTCCTGACTCGACTCCGCCCCCTGCCTGCGGAGGAAGCAGTGGAGAACAGGTGATGTCCTGCAGTACCTAGGCTCGCCAGCAGAGGGAGCGTCGTCTCACCAGATGTAGACGATGTGGCCCTGCCTGCCGCCATGTTGGTACTGGTACAGGATCAGGTAGCTGTCGCCGCCGTAGAACTGACTCAAGGTAGCTGGGTCCACCAGAACCTTACCGGACCCTTCGACCCTCCAGATCTGCAGAGAGACAGACAGATGGTCAGCTGCTCCCGTGTCCGAAACAGGAAGTCTCCAAGCTGACACAGGAAGTTCTCTGTACATTCGATCACGTTACGAGGAGGTCGGTTCTGACCCGAGTCCAGTTCTTTTTAACTCGAGGTGGTTCTGAGTGAAAGGGATCCTGATGGGTTGGCTGGCAGACCTCGGTCCAGTTGTATTTCTCCTGTCCAACGATCCAGTGGACCAGAACCAGAACAACCATAGGAAGCAGAGGCAGTCCTCACCTTTTTGTCTCCGTCTCCTCGGTCCACCATCCCGTACTGCGCCGACATGGAGTCCGATTGGTGCAGCTTGGACACGTCAAACGGCACCTGTCCAATCAGAAGAGTCGGATTTCAGACTCATTTAGGGCAATTTGGATCAGATCCAGAACCCCATTAGCTTACTTTCTCAATCTTTGCCACCTTGTTGGAGACGTAGGCCGTTCCCATGCCGACGGTGTCTTCAGCGTCCCTCCAGTTCCTAAAGAACTGCTTGAAGAGAGGAGTCTCCCCGGACTGAGGAAGGACCTGGACCTGAGAGGGACAGAGGTCAGCTCCAGGTCCGGGTCCAGGTCCGGGTCCGGGTCCACGTTCAGGTCCAGGTTGGGTCCAGGTTCAGGTCCGATCCGGGTCTTGGTCCAGGTCTGGTCCAGGTCCAGGTTTAGGTCCGGTCCAGGTGCTCACCTGGGTGTAAGGTGGGTACTCCATCTGCTGGATGAATTTCTCGGAGTTCTGCAGGACAGCCTGCCGCTCGGCGTCGTTGGCGTCCTTACCTGCACACAGACACGTCACCCGTCAGCAGGACAGCTGGTGGCCTCAGGTGAGTCCCGCCCAGTATGATCATGACCTCTGACCTTTCCAGACAAAGATGCGTCCGTTGGTTCCGTTGTCGAGGATGAAGCACTCGCTGGACTCCAGGGCGTGTTGGGGGAACGGGTTCTGCTCCGACACCAGGGTGACCTCCATGTCCCCGCCGGCATTGGACACCTGAGGGACGCCGAATGCAGGTAGACAAACCAGTGGCAAAATGGAAGTGACATCACGAGCTTAGTGAGCTGGCAGGGAACTGCCGAATGTAGTTACCTTGTAGAGCTTCGCCACCTTCCTGTTGGACGCGTCGGTCTGGGTGTCTTCGCTGTGGGACTCGGGGAGGTCCGGTTTTTCTCCCAGAACCTGGACAGGGAGGCGACAGGAGCAGCAGGTGAAAGTCCGGCTCCATTGTGGCAGCAAAACGAGTGGCAGGTGGGGAATTGATCCAAGAGCCTCCAATTATGGCAGTAAAATTCCCACCGTATTCCAGCACCGAATACGGCGTACGCAGACGACACCATGCTGTTACGTTAGTCAGGTTTTAAGACGCTGGTCTGAGGTCCACATGGTGGACGCCTGGTGGACGCCTCAGGGCCCACCAGCTACATCAGAACCGACCTTTGGTTCTTTAAAACTGTCATGATTCACCAGTGTTTTGGTGAACTTTGACCCCTGATGCTCTCGAATTAGAAGTGCAGAAAGTTCTGGTCTTGTGATCACCTCTATCATCCTGTCTGGCTCCGCCCCCTCATCGACAACCTGGAGGTTGGCCCGCCCACACCTCTCGTTGTCACGGATACTCTTAGAGACCTGTCAATTAGTCAGTTTGTCAGCAGGTATGTTATGACATCAGAATAATGTCATTGTGTGATGTCACCACTCACCAAAGTGGCCTTCAGTTTCTCAAATCTGTTACTATGGCAGCCGGACCACTGGATGATTTCCTGTTGGATCAAAAGAAGGTTTAATCGTCCCCCAGGTGTCCTCACCTGTCCCCCAGGTGTCCTCACCTGTCCCAGGTCCAGGATGAAGCTGTCTCCCTGGTTGAAACTGTCCCAGCTAACAGGAACCTCTGTTGCCCTGACAACACGGCGACCTTTGACCTGGAGCAACCGCTGAACTTCCACCTCATTGGTCACCACATGATTGAACCCTGAGGCCACGCCTCCTTTCTGTTCGACCAACAGGAAGCAACGTCATCAGGGTGGCAGTGAGGGGCCGTCAGACAGGAAGTGGGTGTGGTGCGGTTACCATGTAGGTCAGGCCCGTTTTGAAGTATCCACTGAAGGTCCCGGACTCATGGCCTTGGACCTCTCGGTACTGGACCGGTGCCCCCTGCAGGAAGTCGTCCATCTGAACAGCAAGAATGGCAGCGGCGCCGCTTTCATCCTGAGAGCACTCGGAACCTGCAGCCCGACGGCCAATCAGAGAGCAGAAGGAGAGTCACCTACAGCGACCTGACCGGGTCTGCAGAACCAGAACCCCCTGAAGAACTATAGCAAAGCTTGGTGCCAAGACCGATTCCAGAGTCTCCTGAGGAACAGTCGCAGTCTGACCAGAGCTCGGTCTGTCGCCATGGTAACAGACAGTGAAGGTAACCTCCGAGCCTTGACGCCAGGGCCTCGGTTCTGGATGCTGTAGCCCCACCCACCTGGTCTCACCTTGCCAGTAGTGCAGGTCGTACTGCAGGTCTCCTCGGCGGTTGCTGGTGCTGCTCAGAACCAGGTAGGCGTCTCCGGTGTAGAACCGTCCATAGAGACTCTCAGGGACAGGAGCCAGGTCCATGTTCTCCACTCGCCACACCTGAAGCCCCGCCTCTTTACCTGCTCGCTCAAACTCAGGATGGAACACCATGATGTCACCTACAGCAGGCGGGGCAGAAAACATCACCGGTTAGGCCCGGGGAACACTGACCCCTTGACCCTCTGGCCTGACCCTCAGAGGAAGCTGAACTAACCCCACCCACCGTCTCCCCAGCTTTAAGATGGAGCGCACCCGCATGCTAACTTTGCTCCTTAAGTGCTGCAACAAAAACACCTGAGATCATGTGACCATAACCATGGCAACTGCTGCCAGGGGTGGTTGTGTTCCGGCCGATTTGGACCAGAACCAGAACTCTCATGTGAGTAGATCACAGATTGGTCAAGATTCATCACCAGAACCAATGTGTCTCAGAACCGGGCCCAGCGGAACCTGCAGTCTGGATCCGTTTAGAAAGAGGAAGGAGGTCAAACCTGATTGGCTCAGAGCAGACAGGTAACAACAGGAAGTTCTCTGTTCTCTGCTGTGGGTCCATTTTCAACTGGACCTGCTGGTTCTGGATGAGCTCCAGACCCATCCGAGTTCAGGCAGAGGCCCGGCCCGGTTTGGCCCGGTTCCTTCAGCTCACACAGAAGAACCAGGAAGTCCCTGGGCTCAGCAGCAAAACCACAGAGAGAAGACACACCTGTGCAGGTAAACGCACCACACCCACACACAACATTCCAGTTCAACTGCAGGTTCTCCTCGGTTCTGACCCAATAACTTTTCCTCTACTGGAGGAGGAACCTCTGAAAGATTAACGAGGAAAACAGACTGATGAAGAGGAGCTGGTCTTCCTGGTTCTCCGCACCCAGGTGTTCTCCAGGTGTTCTCCAGGTGTCTCGTCCTGTGGTCCTGCTGCTACTAGGTGTGTCGTTGTCCTCCACTCTGGGATTTAAGGATTTAAGTGCCTCTCTTTCCCTTCAGAGAGCTGCTGATACTGGAGTTGAGTGAAACAGGAGACACCTGGAGAACACCTGGAGAACAGCCCTGGTTTAAACCCAAACAGGTAGAAACTCACCTTCGGCGTCTGTCAGGAAGTCTTCCTCAGCCGGACTGGAGCAACTTTGACACGCAGGTGTGGCTGCAGGTAACGTTACCTGTGCGCCCCTCCCCCAGCAGCAGCAGACACCCACGGCCTGCAGCGGCCGCTCCCGCCTGCAGGGGGCGCTGCACTCTGAACGGAGCAGCAGATTCCCTTCATGCAGAACCGATCCGGACCTATGGATGGAGTTCTGTTATCAGAACTCGGGGTTCTGATAACAGAACCGGGTCAGGGAGAACAGAACCAGCAGTGACCCTGCATCAACGGTTTCGACTAGGTTCAGAACCCTCTCACTGAATGTCAAACTCCAGTTTCGGATTATTTATTTTCCAACCGGACCAGGTCCCTTAAACGTCACATCCGGAAGTGAACACCTGAAGTTGTAATTTGAAAGCTCAGACCGGAAGTTGTGAGGTGGCCGTGGCTGCGGGTCAGGGTTCGGGTCTTGGTGAGGCAGTAAACCCGACCGGACCGGACCTTACCTGGTTCTGGGAGGATGGAGATGTTCAGCAAGCTGAGCGGCATGTTGCTGAACGCGCTGGAGACGGTGAGTCAGCGGAAATTGCCATTATGTGCTTCCGGTGGTCAGTAAAAAGTTAAATTCTCGAACAGAGACGGAGGACAGGGACAGGAGGACATGGAGACAACCTGTCCCCATCTCTGTCTGTCCTCCCGGGTCTCCGCAGAAGTTCCCAGCTGCAGTTTTCTTCAGGAGTGTAGCTGGAAGGTAACTGCTGCTAATGCTAACTGTTTACCTGGAACTGAGCATGCGCAGTGGCTGAATCTGTTTAAAGTTTGAGTACATCTGAAATTAGTTTATCCGTTGATTTCTAAAGAGACTAATGAACAGATGTCACCCCGGGTTTATATCTATGGGGTGAGGTTCGGTAGTTTTGGGTCGGCAGAACCACAACACCTGATCTATAGCAGGCCGATTTAACATAAAATCAGCTTCGTCTGACTGACTGTAAATACATCCTGGATATCTAAAAATCAGTTGACGAGACACAATTACACTCTGACTGCCCTGAGTACAATAAGATATCTCAGGCTAAAAAGCATCTCGATTAAAAAATGTTCCAATGTCTGTGATTCATCTGGAGAAACTTTGAAATGAATCAAAATCAGAATTTCAGTTCTACAAAGTTTTGCTGAGTTATTATTTACTTTGAAGCTATCTGTAATTTAAATTGCCCCAGTCCAGTCTTGTATTAAATACATTTTAAGATATCTTTAATTAGAATTATGACCAGTCAGAACAGAAAGGGAGATAATTTAAGTTAACAGTAATTTTTATTAAATCAGTTCATATTTCTTATAACTTCATGAATCTAGAGCCGATGTTTTCCAGAGGGAGCCGACCGCCGACCTGCTGGACTCCTTCATCGACCACTGGAGGTCCATCACCAACTACTACATCCAGACCACAGGTGAGCAGCCTCACCTGCAGCCTCACCTGCAGCCTCACCTGCAGCCTCACCTGCAGCCTCACCTGCAGCCTCCTGACTCTGTGTGTGTGCAGATGACAGCCGCCCCGCCTCTCAGACCGACATCCCGTGGCGTCTCAGGCAGATGACCGACATCCTGGTGTATGAGGAGAAGCAACAGGTGACTAGCTCCGACCACACACCTGTAACCATGGCAACGAAGCTGTCCAACCTCATTGGCATCGCCTTGATTTCCTTCAGTCCCGGCCCGGACTCGTCCCGGTACAGGCCGGGTACAAGCCCGGTCCCGTCCCGGTTCAGGCCTTGTCCCGTCCCGGTTCAGGCCCGGTCCTGCCCTGGTCCCGTCCCGGTTCAGGCCCGGTTTAGGCCTGGTCCTGCCCTGGTCCCGTCCCGGTTAAGCCCCGGTCCCAGCCCGGTCCGGTGTCATTGCCTGTCTGCTTGTCCAGGAGGAACCGGGTCGCTGCCTGGAGTTCCTGCTGCAGAACCGGCTGCTGGAGACGCTCTGCACCTTGGGGAAGGCTCAGGTAGGCTCACCTGCTGCTGCTGGGTCAAAACCAGAACCATAAGACCTGTGGCCGGGTCTCATGGTCTTCCTCCTCCTCTTCCTCAGTACCCTCCAGGGATGAGCCAGCAGGTGCTGCTCTTCTTCTCCAGGCTGCTGTCTCAGATGCAGAAGCCTCTGCTGCAGCTCGTCCCCGTCCGCACACCTGTACAGGTGAGCAGGTGATCTACCTGTGAACAGCCTCATTCCTGGGGCAGGATAGGTGGGCAGGACCAGCTACCTGGGGGAGTTGTGTCACTTGACTTCCTGTTTGTGCTCTGCCCACAGAAGCTGATTGGCCTCTGTGCTCTTCCTGGTTCCTGCACTGAGAAGGAGGAAGCTCAGTTTTTATTGGCTGTTTGCTCCAGAGTGTCACAGGATCCGCACATGCTCAGATACATCCTGCAAGTGAGCAGTTGATTACATCACTTCCTGTTAATGGAAGTGATTACATCACTGTTAATTACATCACATTCAGCAACAGCAGGATGTGATGTAATAACATCACATCCTGCTGTTTCCAGCCCCCAGATCGACTGCTAGCGTCCAATCAGAGCACAGATGCAGCCAGCTGCCAATCAGAAGCCTCTGCCTCCAGCGCTGTCCAATCAGAGCGTGGGCTGCTGTGGGTTCTGGTGCAGCTCAGCAGCAGCCAGGTGGGTTAGCGGTTCTGTTGGACCAGGTGGAACCGCTCAGGTCCACTGCATGTTCTCCCTGTGCATGGAGGGTTCTCTTTTTGTTTCAGAAGATCAGATTAGAAGAATTTATTGTCATTGTCGCAAAAACAACGAAATTGCAGTTCCAGAACAACCATCCATTACACAACAACACGAGGGGGTAGTTGGCTGAGGCCTCGCAGCCTGACAGGAGCCGCCTTGCAGGAGGAAATAGGAAAAATAATAAAATCATCAGGTAAGGAGAGGGAAAAACGGCCCATCGCACACTCTGCTCTCTGCAGGGCAGCTTGAGATGAAGAACAAAACCTCGGCACATATAGACAAAACGAGCCGGGTACGACGAGGATGTGTGACGTGCAAATGGGTCTCCTGAGAGTCATGTGTGTGTCAGACCATGAGCCCTGGCTGAAGCATGTGATTGTCTGTGAGGATGATGTCAGAGTTCACCACCAGCTTATCAGTTCAGGGCCACAGATGTTCCAGGCAGGGGGGCAGCAGAACAGAGTCTTCTTTAGACACAACAACCAGGGGAGGATCGCTGGCCAGCCAAGCCCAGCCCGGGTCCAGATTCAGATAGCAGAAAGTTGTTTAGGTCAGGCTGACATCAGTTTACCGCCTGCCTTGAAAATCTTGCTGGAGCTTCTCAATGGCAAATCCAAGCAGCCAAATTTAGGGTCTCCTGCCTGATCCAAGCGAACAACGGTCACACCGTATCCATTCTGAGTCCGAGATCCGCTGGCCGGCCTCGGTCCTGTTCCAGGATCACACCCAGTCTGCGCTCAGCTCCCGTATCATCTCAGTCTGAGTGTTGATCGCTCTGCAGATCCCATCAACCGGACCCGGCAGCCTCGAAGTGGCCAAAACTGCCACCGGCATCTTCTGAAATATCCGATAAGCCAGGTATCCGCCAGCTCCAATAAGCAGAAACCCTGTTATCATGACTCCAGTCATCTACACGTCTTCAACATCCTCGACTGACGGCATCGTCAGACACACGGTCTTCCACTTCCATCCAGAATCCATCGTGTATCCAGCAAAGAATGTCCCGTCGGGACACGAAGGTTCCCCTTACCCGGTTTCTCAGTTGGGTTGAGAGACCAGCTGACCAGATCCATAATTTGCAACTTTGGAAGTTATTCAAAAGAAAGACTCTAAAAACACGGGACACAGACGCTGAGCAGGGAAGATGGGGAGGACAGGAGGACAGGGAGACGGAGAAGGTTCGTCCTCCTCCTTCGAAGGACAGAGCAGAAAAAACTTTGCTCTGTCTTTTTGTTCTCTCAGGGTTAGGGTAAGTCAGAAACATGACTGTCAGGTTAATTGGTCTTTATAAATTCTGCTGTCTCTAATCACCATGGTTACCAATCAGGGTCATGCAGACGATGTGCTAATGTCCTCCGTCTGTCCTCTGTGTCCTCCAGAGGCCTGCGGTGCGTCTCAAGGCGTGTGAGGGCCTGCTGCAGCTGGCGTCCCTCCTGGATGTTGGTCCTCCATGTCCTCCCTGTCCTGCAGGTCCTCCCTGTCCTCCCTGTCCTCCAGGTCCTCCAGGGGAGCTGTGGGCTGCTGCAGCCCAGCTGGGGCAGCTGCTGGCTGGGCGACTGCAGGAGCTCTACTCCCTGCTGCCTCTGGAGGAGCTGCAGGCTTCCGAGCTCAGGAGCTGGCCCCGCCCCTCGTGGAGGTAGACACCACCTGGTTGGCTCTCTGGTTGCCGTGGAAACATGGTCTCCATTCTGACCCCTGTGTGTCCTCAGATCAGAGTCTCAAGCCGATCACATGACCAGGTTCCTCACCTGGTTGGACTTCCTGGATGAGCTGACGGCCGACGCTCCTCAGGTACGCTAATGTCGTGTGCTACAAGATAGTCAGGTACTATAGTACTACTATAGTGTAGTATCACTATGTTAGACCTAATACAGTACTACTAGACTACAATAGTACCACTCACGTCTCTGATTGGACGTCCAGGCGCTCTCCCTGCAGGTGTCCCAGTGCGTCCTCCAGCGGTGGCTCATGGAGACGCTTCGTCCTCAGCTGCTGAACGCGTACGTTCTCTTTCTGCTTGTTTTCACCTGAGGGGGCGGAGCCTAATGTCCAGGTGCCTGTTGTCCAGGTGCCAGCGGAGCGTCCTGGTGTCCACATCCGTCCTCTGCTGCGTCGTCAGACTGGTCCGGTCTCCGTCTCTGCTGGACCAGCTGCTGGAGTTCCTGCTGAGGACGCCGTCCGTGCTGCAGCTGCTGCTGCGGCACTGCGACCACGCCTCTGACCAGGTGAGGCTGCAGGACACGCCCACAAAGCCCCTCACCTGGCCAGGCTGTCCCACCGAGTCTCTGTCCTCAGATCAGCATGGCGTCTCTGTCTCTGGTGGACGAACTGCTGCAGAAGCCTCACAGGGACATCCTGGACACGCTGGTGCTCTGCTTCCTGGAGAGCCGCCATTACCTGTCGTCACCTGCGGGGGGCGCCGAGGACCAGCAGCCCGACAGCGACGGCAGCAACGACGGCCAGTATGTCCAGCTGCGGTACGCGCCGCGGGCGAAGGGCCGTCCTCCCTCTGACGACTGTCTCCTGTCCTTCAGAGACCCGGAGGACGACCCGTTCTTCTCAGACGGTTTCCCTGACGACCACCTTCCTCCTCCTCGTCTTCATCAACCTGCTGCCCCGGGCTCCGCTGCTGACATCATCAACAGGTAACAGACCAGGATCAGACTGACCGGACCGGACTGACCTGGACCAGACTGAACTCCATCTTTGTGCCCAGTTTCCTGGGCCTGGTTCCGGTCCAGGTGCGGTCGGCCCACCTGCTGCAGGACGGAGGCTACGAGTCGTACGTCCTTGACGCGCGCTCCTTGGTAAGAGACTTGCCTGCTGCTCCAGGTGCTGACCCGGATCAGGTAACAAACACGAAACAGAACCTTCTGACTGAACACAGGAGTTCTGGTTCTGTTCTGCAGTCAGAACCAGGTGGAGGCTCCACCCCTTCAGGTGTGTCGCCCTGATTGGACGACCCAGAGTTTGATCATAAAACAAAAACCTGGTTACATGTCAGGCTCAGCTCACCTGTGGCTCCTCCCCCTGCCAGGTGAGCCAGTGCCAGGCTCTCTCTCTCCGGTGGGTGTGGCCACAGACTCCTCCTCCTCCTCCCACCTGCTCCTCAGGTGAGGAGGCACACTTCTTTGAAGGCCACCTGCTGAGAGTTCTGTTTGAACGTCTGGGACGCATGTTGCAGCAGGTAGGCTCACCTGAAGTCTCTCCTGTGCCGATCCTCACATGACCCCGACTCACCTGTGCAGGTGTTGTTGTGTTGGCAGCCGTACGAGGTGAACCTGCAGCTGACGGGCATCCTGTCCCGTCTGTGCGCCTTCAGTCACCCGCTGCTGGACGAGTACCTGCTGGACCCATTCATCCACCTGTCCGCCGGCAACCGCTCGCTGTTTGCCGTCCTAGTCAGGGTGAGTTGACCGTAGAGCTGGAGCAACCAGAGCCGCCCCGACCTGCTGCTCTGACTCACCCTGTGTCTGTCTCAGGTGGTAGGAGAGCTGATGGAGCGCATCCAGGAGGTAGCCGACCTGCCGCAGCGCCTGCTGGACACCAGGAGACACATGCTGGGTCTCCACCTGGACGCCAGGTAACTGTCTCTGCAGAACAAGCCGCCGGACCCGACCTGGACGGTTACCTGGTGGTGGTAGCGGGTGACGTAGCGGTGGTGTAGCAGGTGACGTAGCAGTGATGTAGCGGGTGACGTAGCGGTGACGTAGCGGTGGTGTAGCAGGTGATGTAGCGGTGACATAGCGGTGACGTAGCAGGTGATGTAGCGGTGACGTAGCGGTGGTGTAGCGGGTGGTGTTCAAAGTGCTTTGCGTCATAAAAACGCAGCATCTACTCTCATTCCTGTCGTCGGTCCAGATCAGCAGGTTAAATCTGTTGGTCGACGTTCCAGTTTAAAGGTTCTCAGTGTTTCAGCAGGTTTTCAATTTTGTGGAAGTTTGTTCCAGATTAGAGGAGCATAGAAGCTGAATGCTGCTGAGGTCCAACAGAGCCAACAATGTTATAAACATTAGGTTCTCCTGGTACCAGCTGATCAGCTGACTGATGATGTCACTCACCTGTCTGGTTTTGTGGGTGTGTCCTCAGACCGGAGCACCTGGCTCTACTCCAGGGCGTCATCGTCCTGGAGGAGTTCTGCAAGGAGCTGGCGGCCATCGCCTTTGTCAAGATGCCTTTGGACCGGAACCACGACTGCTTCTGTTCAGGGCCCGGGTCAGCCGGACCGGAACCGGCTGAATCATCCTGATTGGACGCTGATTGGCACCTGCTCAAAAGTCCCGCCCCCAGCAGAGGAATGGGACAGAAGCTCATTGGATGTTTTCCTCATTTCTTCCATCAGAACCGGGTCTCAGTCTGATCCGGGTCCTGGAGCTGTGCAACGCCACTATTGATCAGAACTGATCAGAACCTGTTTTAACATAATGAGTTTTACTTACTTTAGCTTCACAAAGTTCTGCTTTTAGGCAAAGATCAAACTGGAGAGGAAGGACCGCTGGACACTTGGACCGCTGGACACTTGGACCGCTGGACACTAGGACCGCTCGGTTGGTTGCCAAAGTGACGGTGTGTTTCTTCATATCGGGGCTGAACGGATCAGAACCGTTGTGTTCAGGTTCTGGTGCTGTCCTACTTGCGGTCAGCAGGGGCGCTGTTGCTCGTCCAGATGCTTCCTGTCATGTGACGCTACGGGAGCCTTGAGGGCCAATAGAAGAGTTTTCCTGAGTCTCTGTAGGACGGTCCTCTGCCTGGAGGGTTCTGGCTCGGTCCGGTCCGGGCCTGTCGGTGTGAGCAGCAGAACCTTACGGCCGACCTTTGGTTGGCTCAGAGCTCAGACCCGTCGGACCGGTTCCGGGCTTGGTGAGTAAAGGTCCGGTTCTGATCCGTAGAACCAGAACAGCAGAACCTCCTGAAGCTGGTTCCAGAACCAGAACCTGTGGCTCCAGCTGGACCTGCAGAGGGAAACATGCAGGAAGAAACATCATGAGTCTACCATAGAAAATGTGACATCATCGTGATGTCATTATGAGCTCGGCAGATGGCGTCTGATTGGCTGGACTGTTTGACCCTCTCTGACCTTTTGTTCTGTTTCTGACCCAGACTTGGAGAGTTTGGGTCCCAGAACCTTGGAAAACTTTAACTGGGCCACATCTCGAGTTCTTTGGATGATCATTAATCTAAAATATCTATAAGTGTAATTTTTGTCATTGTTTTATATTTAGTATAAAAATGTTCTCATAAACCTCCAGAAAACATTTTCATTTCCAGAGTTTTTGCTACAGAACGGCCTTTAGGCCTAGCCGTAAATCCTGGGGGGTCAGCGGGTCTGGACCCGCCAGCCTTGGAAAAGTCCAGAACGCCCACAAAGAAATCATAAAACAAACCCTTGTATTTAAACAATATTAGCATAAAAAGGCAACAGAAACAAAGAACGAAGTAAATCTGCCTTTCATCTAAGAAAAAAATAAGAATTAATTTTTGGGTCCCCCCCCCATTGTTAGAACAATGGTTCAGTCCAAAGTGTAGGAGGAGCAACAGCAGCTGAACGGAACCGGCTCCGTCAGAGCCGCTGAAAGGAGCTAGCTGCTAGCTGTTAGCTGCTTGCTGCTAGCTGTTAGCTGCTTGCTGCTAGCTGTTAGCTGCTTGCTGCTAGCTGCTTGCTGCTAGCTGTTAGCTGCTAGCTGTTTTATTTTATTTTATTCAAACAATCAAATCCATAAAATCAGACCAACAGCTCAACATAATCATCAGAAACCAAAGCCACAAGAAGAAATTGCCTTAGAAAAATACAAAAATACAAAGACTCGCCTTCAGAGAGCTCTTAGTGGCAGTTCAGACAGATCCTCCACCCAGCGATCTGATTGGCTCTTTTAGCTGCATTACTTCTATATCCAGGTGTTTCTACTGCCTGGCGTCTGCCGTTTAGAGGCGTCTGCCTGCCTACAGCAGCACCACGCCATCAGTGCTGCTGTAGGCAGAGACATGCAGGTGATACCGAGGCCCAGGATGGATCCATCGCTGTCTAATCCTCCTTTCCCAGAGAAAGAACAATAGATGTTCATTTCATACAGAAAGAAAGCAGGACCAAAGTTTATCAGCTATCTGTGTTTCTCATTTCAAACTGGTTCCTGAACCCACAGAGCTCTGCTGACCTCTGACCTCTGACCCAGGGCATCAATCAGCAGATTTGATTATAAAAATTAACACACATTTCATATATCTTCAAACTTGCCCCTAGGTGTGTGTGTGTGTGCGCATGGTTGTGTGTCTGTGTTGCCTGCGACAGACTGGCGACCTGTCCAGGATGTACCCCGCCTCTCGCCCGGAACGTTAGCTGGAGATAGGCACCAGCACCTCCCGACCCCACTGAGGGACAAGGGTGTTCAGAAAATGGATGGATGGATGGATGGATCTTCAAACTCTGATAAAACAGACATGAGCAGTTTCACTACCAACACATCCGTTACACTCTGATGTTCTGATTAGTTTCCAACTTCTTTGGTTATAATGAACTAAAACATTTTCAGATAAATTTATGACTTATAGACTCTTAAGAATGTGATCTACGATAAAAACTACTGTTCTACTGATCAAGTTATGTATTAATTAAATCATGAGTCTAAATCTAACCTAAATTAAGGCCGACTGAAAACAATCAGGATCAGTCTAATGTTTCAACATGTGCTAAAGTTAAACGTCATTAAAACTAGATCAATTACTTTTATATCAAGGCGTTGCATATTAGCATAATTAAACTAATATTTCCAAAACTAGCAAAACTGCTACATTGCTTTCATAGACTTGACTCCTTTTTCTGTCGAAGGTAGACAATATTTCAGTTATATTTAACTCTGTAACTCTTACTGTAATAAGGTTTGAAACGGGAGCGGCTGAGCGTTAGCATTAGCATTAGCTAACAGCTCATTATGGGAGCCGAGAGCAGAGGGGCGACTGCAGCTGGCAGTAAAACAAAATAAAGTATGACTTTATTTCCTATCATCTTCAACGTACAGCTTTTAAAAGCACAAAATAAAATCTGAATATTTTTCTAGAAAACTCTGGTGCTGACCTTTAAGTTATGATACTCCCCAAATATTCAATTCCTACATATTTATAGGTTTTCAGCCATCCAGGACATTAAGCCCCCTTACCCCCCAAATAAATAAATAAATAAATAAAGAGTTTAAAGCAACTTAATATAAATAACACATGCCTTGTATTGAGAACCACTGCAATAAATCAATATTTATAAGGAATTTTATTAAGTGGAGTTACTTATTAAAATGTGTTTTATTAAGTCTTTGTAAAGTAGCAGAGATCAGATCAGTGACTCTGAACCAAACTCAGGTCTACAGGTCCTTCTAAAAAAATTAGCATATTGTGATGAAGTTCATTATTTTCCATAATGTAATGATAAAAATTAAATTGTCATATTTTAGATTCATTGCACACCAACTGAAATATTTCAGGTCTTTTATTGTTTTAATACTGATGATTTTGGCAAACAGCTCATGAAAACCCAAAATTCCTCTCAAAAAATTAGCATATTTCATCCGACCAATAGAAGAAATGTGTTTTAATACCAAAAAAGTCAACCTTCAAATAATCGTGTTCAGTTATGCACTCAATACTTGGTCAGGAATCCTTTTGCAGCCTTCAATGTGGCATGGAGGCCTCAGCCTGTGGCTCTGCTGAGGTGTTATGGAGCCCAGGATGCTTCGATAGCGGCCTTAAGCTCATCCAGAGTTTTGGGTCTTGTGTCTCTCAACTTTCTCTTCACAATATCCCACAGATTCTCTATGGGGTTCAGGTCAGGAGAGTTGGCAGGCCAACAGTAACACCATGGTCAGTAATACCAGTGGTTTTGGCCCTGTGAGCAGGTGCCAGGTGATGCTGAAGAATGAAATTTTCATCTCCATAAAGCTTTTCAGCAGATGGAAGCATGAAGTGCTCCAACATCTCCTGATAGCTGCTGCATTGATCCTGCCCTTGATGAAACACAGTGGACCAACACCAGCAGCTGACATGGCTCCCCAGACCATCACTGACTGTGGGTACTGGACCCTGCACTTCTGGCATTTTGGCATTTCCTTCTCCCCAGTCTTCCTCCAGACTCTGGCACCTTGATTTCCGATTGACATGCAAAATTTGCTTTCATCTGAAAAAGTACTTTGGACCACTGAGCAACAGTCCAGTGCTGCTTCTCTGTAGCCCAGGTCAGGCGCTTCTGCCGCTGTTTCTGGTTCAAAGTGGCTTGACCTTTGACCTGGGGAATGAGGGACCTGTAGCCCATTTCCTGCACACGTTTCTACTCCAGACTCAGTCCACTGCTTCCCCCAAGGTCTGGAATCGGCCCTTCTCCACAATCTTCCTCAGGGTCCGGTCACCTCTTCTCGTTGTGTAGCGTTTTCTGCCACACTTTTTCCTTCCCACTGACTTTCCACTGAGGTGCCTTGATACTCTGGGAACAGCCGATTCGTTCAGAAATTTCTTTCTGTTTCTCACCCTCTTGCTTGAGGATGTGAGTGATGGCCTTCTGGACAGCAGTCAGGTCAGCAGTCTGACCCATGATTGCGGTTTTGAGTAATGAACCAGGCTGGGAGTTTTTAAAAGTCTCAGGAATCTTTTACAGGTGTTCAGAGTTACTTTGTTGATTCAGATGATGAGGTTAATTGTTCGTTCAGAGAACCTTTTCATGATATGCTAATTTTTTGAGAAGAACTTGTAAACATTTGAATCTTAGTTTGACTCTTTGGGTCTCAGCAGGTTGTTTACTGACAGAAACACGTTTGATATGCATCACCAGTCATTTTTGGTCCTGCAGCTTGAACACAATAATTTTATGTTACATTTAACTGTAACTTTACCAACTGAAATTACTCTTAAAACATTTCCCTGTTTGTGGCCCCCAGTACTGAGATGGGGTCCGTTGGTCGCCGGCGTGACGTCCAGCTGAAATGGATTTTATTTTACCTGAAGATAATTATTCTGTAAAATGGTGCAGATGTTTGGACATAAATTAAATTTAGTTCTTGATTTTTGCAGAAACTAAAGTTTGTGTCCAAATTAAAACTATGCCTCCTCATCATCAATGCTCTAACTGGATATTATCAATCATTATTGATCATTTGGAATAATATTTCTCCATACTTTGTTGCTTGTTTCCATTCAGTACAAAAGTTTTGTTTTGTTTTTTTTCCAAAACTGTATTAGAAGAAATTTGATTAATACAAGACAGTCATAAATATATGAATGAACAGAAGCCATTCTTAACGAATTTATCAATTTATTGATTTGTGTTGTAATCAGACGCTGCCAAAGTTCAGATATTTTAAAATCACCAGAAAAAATGGAATAAAGTCAATAAATGTGAATTTAGTTATTTCCCTCAGAGTTTATTACATTATTAAGTTATGTTCCAACGCAAATCAATCTGTGACGTAACCGGATGTGGGCCTTTTTTAAATAGAAAGTGTAAAGCAAAGCGTGTCGGGGCTTTTATTGTGAAGAGGTGTCCCGGATGTGTGCGCGGTTCCTCCCTGCAGCGGCGGAGAGTCGAGGAGGAAGAGGAGGAGGAGTTGAAGGTCACAGCAGCATCCTCAGCATCCCTCCACCGAACCTACGGAACCGGGTCGAACCGAGCCGCCGCCATGGGGAACCGGGGCATGGAGGAGCTGATCCCGCTGGTGAACCGCATGCAGGACGCCTTCGCCTCCATCGGCCAGAACGCGAACCTGGACCTGCCGCAGATCGCCGTGGTGGGCGGCCAGAGCGCCGGCAAGAGCTCGGTGCTGGAGAACTTCGTGGGCAAGTAAGAACCGGGCCAGCCGAACCAAACCGCACACAGCCGAACAGAGTCATGGGACTCTGGCTGCCAGGGTTCTGCAGAACCGGTTCCAGTTGGAAGCGGGAAGCGGGCCGCCTGGAGCCACATGGGGCCCCCAAAAGAACCAGGGGGCCCCCGAAGAACTTAAAGAATTGTTTTGGAGCCCGGCAGTCCCCCTGGATCTTTTGGGTCCCCATGATTCCTTTGGGTTCCTCTGGATATTTTGGGTCCTCCTGGTTCCATGAGACGTTCTGGTTCCGGTCGGTTTTACTGGGTTCTCGATTTCTACGACAGAGCAGAACCAGAACGTTTTGTGGTTCTGGCAGAGGACGGCAGGATCTGGTTGGTACCGACCGGTCCATTTGTATCTGTGACACCAGAACCAGTAGCAGGTCTGGTTCTGCAGAACTACAGGCTTAATAGAGTCAAAGATGAGGCTGGACCAGAAGTGGTTCCGGTCGGGTCCAGATGTGCCCAGGTCTATAGTTTAATTCCTGCTGGAAGCTCGAGCCTGATTGGCTGATTATTTCAGCGCTGTCTCCATCCCTACTCTTATTGGCTGCTGCCGGTCACATGATTCTGGAGGGGCTTCAGTCAGAGTCGCCTGACAGCACGACTTGTCTGTGTGTGTGT